TGCTGGCAGGCTTGCACCTGGCATGGGCACCGTAGCCAGCCTGTGCCCCTTTAAGGGCTCCAGGGCCGGGAGGGGGGCAGAAGAGTTTCCCTGGTAGTGCCCAGAGTGGCCACCAGGGAAAGCTGGGGTGGGCTAGCCTCCCACTAGTTTGAATTAAGTGGCTACACAGCCCTTAATTCGAACTAGTTAATTCGAACTAGGCGTTAGTCCTCGTAGAATGAGGTTTACCTAGTTTGAATTAAGCGCACCGCTAGTTCGAATTAAGTTCGAACTAGCAGTTTGCATGTGTAGCGCCTATCAAAGTTAATTCGAACTAACATCTGTTAGTTCGAATTAACTTTGTAGTGTAGACATACCCTTACAGTGAGACCAGGAAGACCACAACAACAGGGCCAGCATTGCCACGGTAGGACTAGCGGAGCCGGAAGCCCTATGACTAAGCAGTAGTCTGCTGTGGTGAGGTCAAGAACCCCGGTGGCAAGACTGCAGCTGGTGGGACCTGTTTTGCTGTGTCAGGTTTGGCAGGGCCAGGAGTACTGGTGGCAGGGCAGTGATCCACTGAGGCAGAGCTAGGCACTCCAGAGGCGGGACTGTGGGCTGCCGTGGCAGCAGAGCTGGTGATAGGTGGAGAGCTGGCCAGGAGCACAGCTGGGCTGGGCTATGGAATGGGGATGACATATTTAAGGTGGAGGAGGAGGCTCCAGGCTGGGTCCAAGCAGTTTGGAGTGAGGGAGTAGACTCAGGGATGGAGACTGGGATGGGAGTACAGGGTCTGGGAAGGATTTAGGGTACAGGAGGGGTTTAGGATCTAAGGGGGAGCTAAGATGGTGGAGGGGGCTCAGGGCTGGAGCAGGGGATGGGGGCAGGATGCTTACCTGAGGCAGTTCCCCCCCTCTGGAGTGTGGGGGAGGGAACAGGTGGCTACAGCCCTTAAAGCCCCCTTCTTAATCCAAGGGTGCTTCTGGGGCTGGAGGAGCATATCCCTCCCCCAGCTACAACAGCTCCCTGTTGCTGGTGAGAGGAGCACATCTTTTCCCCTGCTGTGGCTGGGGGAAGATGCACATTTGTCCAGCCCCAAAAGGCAGCTGCCACAGCCAGGGGGAGAGGCCTTTCCTCTGGCTCCAGCAGCTCCAATCACAGCAGCACTAAGCCCCTGCACAGAGCTTATTAGAAAGCTTATTAAGAACCTTGATTATAAGTGCATCAAGGGAGGTGTTTTATGAAAGCCTGTGACACACTAGTGATTAATGGCATTGTAAAATGTATGCATTAATATCATATCAGGAATTATGGTTACTCATTGGTATTAAGTTTTATAGCCTATGTCCCAACACAGAGAAACAGACCTCTTCCAGATAGGAAGGAATGTTGCAGCTATTCACCTGTCTCCTATATAAATTCCTAGAAGACTTACCCAGTGTTCCTTGGATCCTTCAGGGCGGAAGGCTGGTGGTGTGGGTGGTGCAGGAGTCAGGGTAGAGTTTGGGGGGCTCAGGGCAGGTAGAGGGGGATGTAGGAGTCTGGGTAGGGGTTTTGGTGTGGGGGAACTCAGGAAAAGGGACTGGGTGTAAGGGAGCTCAGGGCAGAGGGGCTGGAAGGTCTGAGGGAGCTCATCAAAGCTGTCCACAGTAGTAAGGATGGTGCTGCAACTGCCACCTCCAGCCCCTTTGGGGGGGCTAGAGCTGTGTTACTCAGTCCCACTGCCAGCTCCTGGGAGTGGGGGCAGGGCTTCACAGCCCGGCACTGGCCGGTCATCATGGGGGAGGGGGATGGGCTGTTCAGCCCAGCCCCAGCTAGCCATCAGAAGGGTAGAAGGAGCTAGGGTTATGCAGCCTGGTCCCAGCCCCAGCAGTCCCTGGGAGGGAGGAGTCAAGACTGCACTGTTTTAAAAGGGGGGAAATTGAGAGAGAAAGATGAACTAACTTGCCCAGAGTCACACAGCAAAACAATATCAGAGTCAGAGACTCACACGTTCTTAAGCTGTCAACCTTATGCAGATGCCATTAAACTAAGTTGTGCCTCATTTGTATTTTGGCTTTCAAGATGTTACATGAAACTTGAATTAAGCAGAATCGTCCCTTTAGCCTACAGATGCTCCTGCAATAAATCAGAATCACTAACACCTGCATGTCTCCTTGCGGGTATAACATAGGAATTTCCCTCCCCTACACACAATTTATACAATATACACAACTTTCCATGGGTTATTAAAATTACGAAGATTTAGTCTTTTAACACTAGTTAGCACCTTTCATGGTTTGTGTCTTCCAAGGAATTATTTACTCGCAGAAAAGTCTAATAAGAAGCAACAAAAAATAGGAAGGTGAAAATGCGATTTCTGATCCATGTTTTTCTTACCATTAAAGTTAAAACCCTGGCTAGGGCCAATCTGGACTTCACCATCCCTGGTAAGAGTCACTTGCTTACTCATATCATCTTCAAGAATTAGTGTTACAGACTGGATGCAGCCATGGTCGAGGTTCTGAATAAAAAATAAATTTTATCAACAAACAGAACGATACAAAGAGTTTTTTACTAACACCGAATTAAAAATTTCAGTTTGGTCATCCAAAGCTAGTAAAAAAATACTTGACTTATAGCAACCACCAGCACGGTCCTCAGGTATGTGTGTTGTCTTCCATTGACCAAAATGTAAAAACTGGAAGCATCAGAGAAGAGCAAACACAGGGAGCCAGACACAAATATTGAGTGCAAAGTATACAGAGGCATGTCATACATGAATGTCTGGTGTACAGAACCAACTATTCAGGAAAGCACAGTGGCAAGCTAACAAAGGGCTTAGTTTCACAATATAGTCCATATGGGCTGATCCTTGGTGCCCACCCGGAAATCCAGAGACTGCAGTGGGCTCTGGTCAGAAATGAAGGCCTGGCCTATGTCCAACTGAAGGACCCAGAGCTAAAGTGCTGCAGAGCTTTAGGACATGTTGGCTGTCCCTAACAGAAGGCCTTTTCCCTTCCCTTTGGAATACAGGCAGGATCTTTAACTACAGAAGAAGATATAAAGCTCCAAAAAATATGTTAAAATACTATCAAGTATTTGACTTTTTCAAAAAGAAGGAAATTAAAAGTTACGGTTGCAATTAACTCAGACCAATAATGTGTCCTAAACTCTTCCACCCCAAACTGATATGGCTGGGATTTAATGTTTTGATATTTTCGTGAACTTCATAAATATACTATTCCAAGGAATGTGATATATGAAATGACCAATAAGTGTCCCAGGCTGCTAGGAAATCTCTCTTACCTAGCTGGCAGTATATTAAACCTGCCAGTCCTGTCAGCAAGAGCGATGTTCTGTCTAAAACACCTGTTCATGCTGTAACCAAATATGTGTAATCATGCATGAACGAAAAGGTCTGTAGACTTAATCCCAGAAAGGCAGCAATTGATTTTACAAAGCGCAATAGTGGTAACTGAAATAAAATACAGATCATGATCAAACTATATTTAGCCACTCAATATAAAAAGCAGCAAAACTGTTGTCAATTTTGTTTCTGATACTTTTACTACTAAGCATGCCTGGTTAATTTACAGTGGCTGGCTATGTAAGATTACCTGAATTTTTTATTAACCCATTTATCTTTTGAAATTCAATCGTGACCTTACCTGACCACATGGAGCTTTCTGTAAAGTGATTGTGAATTTGTCTTTCCCAGTGCCTTTTACCAGTATGTACTGACAAATCCCAAGAAATGTATAATGACGACCATCAAATGTTGTAAAATGAGAGTCACCTACGATGGTGCACTCAGCTTGAGAGAAAACAATGGTCAGTAAATAGGAAAGTTAATTTGCATAGAGCCTTACAGTCGGAGTTGGAAAAGAGGTTACCACATATTTTTCAAGCACATTAACCAACCTAAATTAAATGTCTGGTGCCACATTTAGTTAAATGTCTGGTGACACAATCTTTCATTTCTGTCAGAAAACACTTCATCAAATGCATTTTACAGATGTACCATCTCTAAGTTCTAATTAGGCACTCATCACTATGGTATCTAAGTGCTCTCCCCCTTCAAAATAAAAATTAATGCAAGACAAAGCCCAACAAAATGACTACTTCTCTTTTCTCTACGGCTACATCTAGACTGCATCCCTCTGCCGAAAAAGGGATGCAAATCAAGCACTTCAGAAGTGCAAATGAGCCCAGGATTTAAATATCCCGGGCTTCATTTTCATACTCACGTTCCGACGCTGTGCCGATCAGGCTCAGCGTCGAAAGTGAAAGTAAAGTGTAACCACAGCTCTGCCGACAGTGGGGAGCATTTTTGACAGCTCCTGTACTCCTCAATGCAAGGAGTACAGGAGCTGCTGAAAAAGCTCCCCGCTGTCGGCAGAGCCACTGCTACACTTCACTTTCATTTTCAATGCTGAGCCTGATCGGAACAGCGTCAGAATGTGGGTATGCAAATGAATCCCGGGATATTTAAATCCCGGGCTCATTTGCACTTCTGAAGTGCTTGATTTGCATCCCTGTGTCGGCAGAGGGATGCAGTCTAGATGTAGCCTACATGTTTGAGTGTGAGAGCAATAAAGAGAGAGAGAGAAAGAGAAAATATGCAAGAGAGAGAGTACATGCTTCTCCCTTTTATTTTCCTTTTCCTTAGTTATTGACGTTGTGGGAAGGATAGATCCTTCTGCAGGTTGCCCACCACTGCCCTTAAGCATATCTTATCTTTTGCTGTTTCTGGGATACACATTCAGTATAGAATTATAAGACGGGAAGGGATCTTGAGTGATCATCTAGTTCAGTCCCCTACACTGCTGGCAGAAACATCCCTGAGAAGTGTTTGTCTAACCTGCTCTTAAAAAGCTCCAGTGATGGAGATTCCACATACTCCCTGGGACAATTTATCCCAGAGTTTAGCTGTCCTGACAGTAAGGAAGTTTTTCCTAAAGTTCAATCAAATCTGCTCATGCTGCTAACATCATTGCTTCTTGTCCTATCTTCAGAGATTAAGGAGAACAATTTTTCTCATTCCTTGTTATATTAACCTTTAAACTAACTTATCATATCTCCTCTCAGCTTCTCCAGACTAAACAAACCCATATTTTTTTCAATCTTCTCTCATAGGTCATGTTTTCTAGACCTTTAATCACTCTTGTTGCTCTCCTCCGGACTTTCCCACTTTTGTCCACACCTTTCCTAAAGGAAATAGGCACCATATTCAAGTTGAGGACTAATTACCTAGGAATAAAATGGAAGAACCATTCCGTATGTCTTGCTTAAAACACTCCCACTATTAAACCCCAGAATTATGTTTGCTTTTTTTTTTTTTTTGCAATAGTGTCATGCTTTTGGCTCATTTAGCTTGTGATCCACTATAAGCTCCTATTCCCTAGTGATATCTATACTGCTCATAGGAATCATTAAAATGTGATTACCTGGACAGTCATGTTCAGTGCAGTTCCAAATGCCACCAGTACAAGTACTAAATAAAGCACATAAATAAATCTTCAGACATGTTACAAATTTACACTTCATTTAGGATATTCTTTCCCTGTATTTTAGTTAGATACAGATTATGGATTGTAGATATACATATAGAGAAACCTTGAAACATATACAGGCAGTCCCCGGGTTACGTACAAGATAGGGACTGTAGGTTGGTTCTTAAGTTGAATTTGTATGTAAGTCAGAACTGGCGTCCAGATTCAGCTGCTGTTGAAACTGCCCAGCAGCGGCTGAATCGGACACGCCTGGGGCAGAGCAGCTGGGATGCTGCTGGGTTGGTCCCGCAGCGCCGCTCCTCGGCGCTACTTGACCAACCCGGCAGCGCCCCAGCTGTTCTGCCCCAGGTGTTCCCAAGCCAGCCGCTGCTGAAACTGACCAGCAACTGACTACAGGAAGCCCGAGGCAGAGCTGCTCTGCCCCGGGCTTCCTGGAATCAGCTGCTGATCAGTTTCAACAGTGGCTGAATCGGGACGCCTGTGACAGAGCAGCTGGGGTGCTGCTGGGGTGGTCCAGTAGCGCCACACCTCGGCGCTGTGGGACCAACCCGGCAGCCTCCCAGCTGCTCTACCCCAGGCGTCCGCGAGAAAAGCCTGGTCTGCTGGGGGGGGGGACCCCCAGCAGACTAGGGAGACGTGGAGCAATGCCACAGAGGACGCGGGCGGTGGGACCGCAGCGCGTCTCGGCGGTCCCGCCGCCCGCGTCCTCCGTGTTGAGAAAAGCCTGGTCTGCTGGGGGGGGGGACCCCCAGCAGACTAGGGAGACGTGGAGCAATGCCACAGAGGACGCGGGCGGTGGGACCGCAGCGCGTCTCGGCGGTCCCGCCGCCCGCGTCCTCCGTGTTGAGAAAAGCCTGGTCTGCTGGGGGGGGGGACCCCCAGCAGACTAGGGAGACGTGGAGCAATGCCACAGAGGACGCGGGCGGTGGGACCGCAGCGCGTCTCGGCGGTCCCGCCGCCCGCGTCCTCCGTGTTGAGAAAAGCCTGGTCTGCTGGGGGGGGGGACCCCCAGCAGACTAGGGAGACGTGGAGCAATGCCACAGAGGACGCGGGCGGTGGGACCGCAGCGCGTCTCGGCGGTCCCGCCGCCCGCGTCCTCCGTGTTGAGAAAAGCCTGGTCTGCTGGGGGGGGGGGGGGCCCCTTCGTAAGTGGGGATCCGACGTAAGTCAGATCCATGTAACCCGGGGACTGCCTGTAATGTAATTAGTAAACATGCTACAATAAATTAAAAATAGGCAAGCAGATACATGAAAAAGAAAAGAGTGGATAATAAGATACATACCACTGACTGCATTCTTGTTCAATTTTTGAGCCTACAGGAAAGGCTGTTCCATGATAAATACAAGGGCAATTTGACACAGAGATACAAGTTCCATTGTCCATAACGAGACCTATTTTTGTTTAAAAATAAAAAGACTGAAAACAAGAACAGTGGGGCTCTGTTTACTCTGGTGGCTAATAGGGGTACCATTTTCATGATATTTCAATGGGTGGTTTTATCCTAGCAGTGCCCATCTCATCGACACGACTTCCACTGTCCAGAGGGGAGCCTTTGTACAGATGGGGAACCAGACCATTCATCTAGTTTTAAGCCAGACAGTCCAGATTCTAAGTGCTTTGTTCCAGTACTGATACAAAACCAGGCATGGTTTTGACGGGTATCATGGAGGAAGGACACCATTTTGAAGAGTTTGCCACTCCACCCTCACCTCTATCCCACCATGACCTTGTTTGTGCACAGTCACAGCAGTGCGGATGGGGCGGGGGGGGGCTCACCCTTTAAAATCCTGTCCTCTACATCAGTGGTTCTCAAGCAAGATTCCAGGGCTCTAACCAAAGAACAGGGCTGGCATTAGACTTACTGAGGCCCAGGGCAGAAAATGGAAGGCCACGCCTGAGCAACTTAACTGTGAGGAGTCCCCTGTAGAGAGGGACCCTGGACAATTGCTCTGCTTGCTCCCCCTAGCATCATCTCTGGCTTTAACGTATTGGATATGCAGAAAAACAACTGTGGAACAGGTAGGCCATGGCATTTTTATAGCATATTATATGAGGGGGAGTGGTCCTCAGGAAGAAAAAGTTTGAGAAACCCTGCTCTGTTTGATGTGAGCTCACATGCAAGGTACAGCAGTGGGGACGGGGTCAAGCAGATGGTAGTTCCATGCTATTCTTTGGAAGTACTGGAATGCACAAGTAGACAGACTACCTGGGCTACAAGGAACTAAATGACTTGCCTAAGGTCACCCAGGATGTCTATGGCCCTACAGGGATTTGAACCTGAATCTTCCATGTCCCAGAAAAGTGCCTCAACTGCAGGGCCATCCATATTCACCATTATTCACTCTGCTACATAAAAGTTCACTTCAATGAAAGGGTGAAATCAGTGCTTAATTTGCACGGATCTGAATCCTAGCACCTCTAGATTTGGTAGTTCCAAGTTCTGGCACCTCGGGACTTGCTGCATCAAGTTAGGAATGTTTAAAAAATGTTTAAAAAAACCTCTGGCACTTACTTGCTTGAGCCTCGGCACCTCTTTCTTTACAAATCAAGCACTGAATGAAATTCAGCCCAGAGCAAGGTGCCAGTCAAGAGATGCACCACTTACTGGCTTAAAGGGGCTTACCGGGGGATTTTGTGATTGAAAGCTTTGAGCAGTTCTTTTGAAGCAACTTGAATTTCACACAACTTGAATCTGCACACCATGTACAATACCCACAATGATCGCACAAAACCACACAAGTTTCAAATGGAAAAGCCTGGTGCGGGTTACATAGTCAATAACCTTGCCTCTTGTCTTTTGTTGGGTCTAGCATCAAGGAGGATAACCTCCCTGAACACAGTATAAAATATCTACACTGTTTTAAAAACTAATAACAATTACGAAAAATCAGATAAACTAAGTTAAAGCCAATGCCATGTTTTTATTTGTATAGCTCACCAAAGAGTTCACCCAAGTTTCAACTGTTAGGGTCTGGTTCAGAGCTGCACTGTATTCTGAATCTCTTTTAGAAGAATATAATACAACCAGTGTATAAAACATTAGCAGAAGAAAAGAAAGTATGAATATATTAAAAACTAAAATAGAAGCATATGCATGTAAAATATATATCTGTATTATTTTTAATTGTAAGCATGTAAGTCTATTCAGACACTGTAGTTGTATTGTCAAGTACTGTATTATGTTAATGGGAATATGTCATGTGAAAATATCAGATACTTACCATCTGGACAGTAACAGCCATCTAAGCAATGGAGGTTGCTGCCAAGACAATCCTTTTCAAATGTGCAGGTTGGCGGGCAACAACTAATGCAATCTCGATGGACAAAACTGTCTTCACACTTCTCAGCTAAAACGTGTACAAATTACACTGGACATTAGTGCATTGTTTCCTTTGTACATTAGAAAACCTCCATCAGTAATGTGTTCTTTTTTAAATGTAACACAACTCACCAAATAAACAGCTGTGCAATGTTCCTGGTATTATTGTTAAATAAATGCACTTTAAAAATCCCATTAACACCTCTTCACTCATAATGCGGGAGAGAACGAGGAGGGGAATTAAACAGGTTATAGAATGTTGTAATAAACCATAAATCCAGGGTCTCTGTTTTATTTTCTCCCTATGACTGTAGAGGTGTTAATGGAGCTACTTCACCTTGAATAATCCCCAGAAATATGCACTAACTACAGGAGCAGTGGGTATGGTAGGCAGGAGGATGTTAAGCTTCCAGAACAGCCTCGGAGAACGAGGAGGGGAATTAAACAGGTTATAGAATGTTGTAATAAACCATAAATCCAGGGTCTCTGTTTTATTTTCTCCCTATGACTGTAGAGGTGTTAATGGAGCTACTTCACCTTGAATAATCCCCAGAAATATGCACTAACTACAGGAGCAGTGGGTATGGTAGGCAGGAGGATGTTAAGCTTCCAGAACAGCCTCGTGTCCCCCCCGCCCCACCCCCACCACCTATGCTCTGCTTCCG